ATATCGTTTTGATCGAGTGGTGCGGCTCTGTGTGCATACGCGTGTGCGCGTCCCGTGTGTGTACAGTGCGACAAAATATCAACGAAAGCCGGCGCGCACAACACTGTCAACCTCGTTTTCGTCATCGCCGTGCGTTGTCAACGCGTCGTTGTCGCTGTCGTACGCCGCGGCACTTCGTCGGCGAGTCACGTGGTCCCTGGTTTCTTTCTTCTTCCGGGTCCCCCCACAGCGAGAAGTGTGTGTACGTGTGATCGGCGAGATCGGATGCGATCGGGGACCGATCGAGATCTCTCCCGCCACGGCAAGAAAGGAAAAGGGAAAACGGAAGAGGAAAGTCGCGTGAGGATTTCGTCGCGAAGAGAATCACGTCTTGTCGTCGATCGTCATCGTCGTCGTCGTCGTCTTGACGGAACTTCGTTGGTAAACAGTGTCTCTAGTACCGTGGGCCGAGTGCGCGATCCTGCCCGAACGAAAACACAAGCGGACACGTGCTCATCCGCACGTGCTTTCGTCGATGCACGTGCTCTTTAGACAGGCCCGGTTGCGTGCGCTCCGAAGGTCCCCCCGGGACTCCGGAGGAACATCGGGAATCTGAACGGTTCGACGGCAGTCGAGTGAACGGCGCGCACCGGTCGGCCACCGGTTTCACTTTCAAAATCGAGGGAAATTTCGTTTTGGCCTGGCGGTCGTTCGGCACGCACCGATAACGTGGTCCGGGACAGTACGCGCGTCGAGGAGATCGACGACGACCACCACGGAAAGCAGAAGAAAGGCGGTGCCAGAAGGAAAGGGAGAAACGAGAAAAAGAAGAAGCTTCGAAACGAAGAGGCGAGTCTCGCGGCTCTGTTACCGCTTACGTACCAGGCAAGAGCGGGCCGCGTTGTGTAAGAGCTGAAAGTAAAAGTTGAAACCGCCGACTAGGGCTCGCGGGAGCGCGTGCGGAGCGCGCTAAAATCCGATCCTGTCTCGTAGACTGGACATAGCCGAATATTCCTGCCTCTCTCTTTCTCTCTCTCTTTTTCTCTTTCTCTCCCTCTCTCTCTCTCTTTTTCTCTCTCTCTCTCTCTCTCTCTTTCTCTCTCCCTCGCGGTCTTTCTCTCGGCGGCTTTCGGATTTGGTTCCACCTTCGAAGTTGTTTCTCTTCGACGTCTCTCGTAACCGAGCGTGCCCGATCGCGAGGCACCGTTCCCGCGGAAACGGCACGGTGACTGTCGGGATACTACGCGAACATCGAAACGTTCCTCGCCAACCAATCGACCGAATGAAACGAAACGGGAAGGAAACGTGCACGAAACGAGACAAGACGAGACGGTGAAAACGAAAGCGACGAAAGAACTGTGCAATTGTGTAACGACAATTTCTAGTCCCGTAGCTTCGTGAAATCTGTGCCCGAATAATCCGATCGGACTGTAACGTTCTGTGTGTGTGCGCGTGTACGTGTGTGGTCTCGAGCTCTCTTGCAACGAAGGAAACAGTCGAAAGAAGGTGTTCCACGGGCTCGGTCCTATCGCGAACCGATTCCTTCGATGATTTCGAGGAAGAAAGCGATGGGAACGGTCTGCCTCGTATGGTTCGCATCGTGTGCCACGAAACGCGCGTGTTCAAGGTCGTCACTCGTATCCCACCGGTAACCTGCTTCCGGGACAAGAAGAACAACACGGGTTAGAGGATCGTGAAAGAAGAAGAAGAGTTCGCAACCGATTTCGCTGCTAGTGTCGTTCGTGCCCGACTGTCTTTAATTCGTCGATCGTGTCCTGTTCGCTTATGGTGCGCCGCGTCTGGGCTACAGCAGTTTCGTAAAACGGATTACAAAACCAGAAGAGAAAGGAGACAGAGAAAGGGAAAGGCATAGACGGAAGAAGAGAAGCCGAGAGACCAAGC